GCCCACAGTCTGGGCTCATCACTGAGAGTGCATCAGCTTGCAGGGACACAGGGTCTTCCTGAGCCTCCAGGCTATGGGCTACTCCACTCTCCATAGTGCTTGTTGTGCTAAACTACCCAAACAAAAATAGCCTGTATGGTGCCTTGTGAGAGACATGGTGGCCACAGACTCCATCGGTGGTGGTGGGGAGTCACCTCTCTCCACAAAGCAGAGCTACAGGGAAGTGAAGAATGAGGATCCCACTTCCCAGCTTCTTCCAGCCTACCTATGGTCTGGGGTGAGGGTAGTCCCTCAGCTACCGCCACATATCACCAGACAAGGACAACACACAGTGACACACAAGCTCTCTCTCTGCCATGGCTGTGAGGCCCACTTCCTGAAGGCAGATATTGTGTCTTAAGGCACCACCATAAGCAGATAAAAAGACTTTCTGAGGCTGCTGGGTCTCCACCAGAGACCAACATTCACTCCTGCAGAAAACAAGGGAGACTCAAGGCATCTCCAGATCAGGAGAATGAGGAGTACTGCAGGTGGAGCTGCTAAGAAGGCATCTCTTCAGCAAAGCTGGCACAAGGAGTCACCTGCCTTTGCCTTTAACTCCTTTATCAAGGAAGGATCAGGATGGGAGGGTACGTCTTCCACGGCAACACCATGTTGCACCACCTCCAGCTACTCCACACATGAAGCTGGGGAGCTGTGGATGTGGCACAGCAACCAGCCAAATAAATTGGAAGTAGACCCACAGCAGTGTAAAACAGCTTCTCCAAAATGCCTGCTACTTTTTCATCCGTTTCTGAAAATATGCAATGCTGTAATAAAGGGTTGGGCTCCTGACTCATGAGAAGCCGTTTGATTTACAGAAACAGCTCATTCCTGAGGCAGGCTAATCTGCTGTGCATTAAACAAGCATTTCTTGATAGGCTGCTTCCCACAGCCAGAGCCATGTCCTCTACTCCCCTTCCTCCCCAGCTCCCCTGCATCAGTGTGCTGTCCTGGGCTTGACTAGCCCCAGGTGGGAGTGGGCTGGATGGCTGACCCGGGGTGAGAGAATCACGCTGGGAAACATCACCCACTATGAGTAACGTTGCTGGTGCCTCTGGGATGTAACAGGAAGAGCTTCATGCTGCAGGAAGATGAGCTGCTCTGTAATTATTTCCTGTGAGCTGTGGGAGAGCTTGCCTGCTCTTCTGGGCCTGGAGAGGTAATTATGGACACATATAGGAGGAGTAACCAACCTTGTGCAGGTGACTTGGCCAACGTCACCACTGTGGAACTGGGGACTTCTCAGGCATGGGGAAGTGGCACTCATGTTTCTGTGGGTCTGTCTAGCTGGCCCCACTTGAAAGAGGCACCAAACACTTCTGAGGAGGTATGTGGATGGATAGGAATTGTTTTGAGTACAGATCAACTCCACCTTGAAGGTATGCTGTCTGTCATTTCAAGAACCAACTCAGCTCCATTTCTCAAGGGGAAGGAGGGACTCCTGCAATAGTGTTACTCCAGCTGCCGGTGGAATAGTTCCAGTACTCCCTCAGGCAAAGAGGATCTCTTAGTGGTTCTCCTTCACTGCAAATCAGCTGGTGCTGTAAATGCAATGTGGAGTTGCTGGTGACGTGCTGATGCGTGGATGCTCCATGTTACTGGGACATGGAGAATCAGCAGGGTAAAACCACTGTGGTATGATGAAGGGTTCAGCTTAATCAGGTCCTTGCCCTGAGAAGTCAAGGTGAATTTTGGCTTCTGGTAAGATAGGCAATGAAACAAATTTGGGGCTGTCAAGGAAGTGAGTCCACTAATAAGCCTAACTTGCAAGGACTGTTTTGAAATGTTCTTTACTTATCAGTGGAATAGGAAATCCTCCTGCTTCAAGTCTGCTGCACTCCTAAGGATCCTGCACAGTCAGCTCTGACCTGGTATGAGGAGGAGGATGAAGGACTGCATATACTACACCATCCATCTCTGATTCAGTCCTTGTCAGTCTCAGGTTGTCTTGAAACTACTCCCACAGTGACCTCAAAGGCAACATCCCAACACAGACAAGTCAAACACAGTATAGGTTCTTTGGCTCATTGTTTCTGATCCCTTTAGCATCCGTGGTTGTCAAGGCCTTCCTGAAACCCATGAAGCTGAGAAGCATCTAAAATGTAAAAGCAGAATGAAGAGATGGAAACTGGAAGATGTCCTTCACTGCTTATGTCAGGTGTGACTGCCTCTTCTTGCCCACGATGCAGAGCCAGGGAGCCGTCCGCTCAGAATCTGCCTTGTCAGGGGAGTCCATAGGGATGGACTTTAGGATACTCCAAATGATCTGAAACTTGAAAAAAAAAAAACCAAAACAAAAAACACTCCCTCCAGAGCCCCCCACAAACAAAAAACCCAACCCCAAACCCCCAAAATCTAACTCCCAGGGCTGGAGCACTGCTGCCTTCATTGTCCTTTCAGACATAATGGCTGAATTGACCGTTCTTTCAAGTTTCTCTTGATTTCTTTTGAGCAAGAACAGATCAAGTTCAGCAAGAACTGATCAATTCAGAGTTTGGTCAATATTTTTTCAGACCTGTCAGGTTTTGACAGTGTCTGATGTACTGATTTACAGGTATCATCCAGAATCTCTTAACACTCCAAATGCCTTCTTAAATGGGGTGTAAGGATATCCCTTTAAGCTCAGTTTGGACCAGCCAGATGCTGTTTAACTGAGAGTGCAATTGCACATAGAGCACTGCAGACGCACACTGCAATCAGGTAACCATGTGCTCAAATGGATAATAATGATCATTTTCCCGTCTCCTAATTTCCATATGGAACAGAAGTAATTAGCTGTGTAACTGTGCACCTAGGTGTCCAGCCAAGTATTGCTGAAAGCCTTAGAGCAGACCCAGGGTGACAGGCTCCAGCTCAGCCTCCTGCTCCTTGGAGTGGCATTGACTTCCCATACAAACCTGAGGAATTAACTCCTGGGAATGGTATTTCTGGATTGCCAACACACTGTTTATGTAAATGAGACATCCTTTGATGTTCTCTTGGTTTTACTGACATATTTAACACTCTTTAACCTTCATGGGAAAAAATATTCATGTTATATCAATAACTGCTTTTTATGTATTTCTTCAAGGAATCCTTTCTCCACTTGAAATTCATAATGGAGCAACTGAATTCCTCCAATGCAAATTTAAATGATTCATTGAATGTTTTGCACTGACTCCTCACACTGCTGTTCAGACACACTAATGCCTCGTCAACTTTTTAAAAGTTGTCTTTTCCTTGTTTTCCTTCATCATCCTGGGCTCTCTTCCACTCCTGCTCTCCCACTGGCACACAGTGGCGAGGATCTGAGAGGCAGGACTATGCTTTCTTACACCTAAATGAACAAATGTCCTTCTTCATAACAAGGTCTGGTCTAAACAGCCCAGGTGGAAGAAAATGAGTGTTACCCTTCCTTTTCATAGCAAACTAGTTAATCAATTCCTCACCTGCTCATGGTATTATTCACTCTAACTCTGCATGTTTGAATACAATTAAAGCATGGACAGGTCTTTTGCCAGCACACTTCAGGGCACCACGGTACCCAGCATCATTGCTAAAGATGCTTTATCCCATAAGTACACAGGATCTTGACCAAAACATCCTGCAGTACCACGCCTTGGAGAGCAAAAGCCCATGGTGTGCCTTCCATGTCATGTCAGTTGTGTTCATTCATCAAGCTTGCCCTTTCTTGAGCCTCTTCTAACCCCAAAATGTTACAAATTCTTCCCGCTAGCTCTGGCTTTTTGCCTGCTCATTGCCCCTCTGATGTGGGGGGCCTGGCCTGGCTGTGCCCCCTGCGATTGCTCTCACACTGGTGGGGCTGTGCAGACCACCTGGAAGATGCACTCGCAGCAGCTGCTTGCTATCATGCACATTTAGAGGGGGTGATGCTATGGCAGAGCTCCTCACTCCCTCCATCAAGCCAATACACTCTTCCCAAAGGTAGTATCTGAAAGCTGCTGCAATGCTTAAAGAGAACAGCCTGCTGATAAATTGAATTTTTTTTCTCTCTGTCACAACCAGAGTCATTTACAGGACTCCACATCACCTTTCTGTAGCACAAACAGGAGCATTGCAGCAGTTTTCAGGCCCTAAAGCTGCTCTGAAAATCCCTTTGCTTCAGCTTTTGTTTTCAGCCAACATTACTGTATTCCTACTGCTCCCATTTAGTTCAAATAGCTCAGCAAACTGAGCACTCAGAAGAGATGTAAATTGTGGAGCAGCTGAAGACTGTCACTATCTGTGCTTTCCAGCTCCCAGGTGGATGAATGGGAGAGGTGGGTATTATCCAGCTGTGCACAACACCCGAGGGCTACAAACCCCCATCTGAGAACAAGTACCAAAAGCCACTGGTGCTTGTGCAGTTCAGTATGTAGTGTATTTGCTGGGTCTTGTTCTTCCGTTGTAGGTATCTTGTCCACTCAAGTGTAAATAAACAAAATGTTGTTTGGTATGAAAAAGTGCATTTGATGTTGTTGGTTTTCAGTCTGACATCTGCTTCTGTCCAGGTCAGTCCCCTACAAATGAAACCCAGCTTTGCTGCAGGAATAGAAATCAATGTGCTAGTGCAGTGTGAGAGAACTTTTTAAATGAGAACTCTCATTTCTCCAATATCCATGTTCTCTTCAGCAGAAAATAGTTTGCATGTGCCTTTTGTTTTCTCTTCTGCAGGATGAAGCTAAGGCCTACCCACTTGTCAGAGATGTGCCTGTGTTACTCAAGCACCAGTGAAGACCTCTACATTTCTATAAGTGTGCTTCAGAAAGTACCTCTCCAAAACAGTATTAGCAATTGGAGCTGCCACCCTGGAGAGTGACCCTGAGCATCCGACAGGATGTGAACAAGAATTCCTTTTGTGGCAGGTGTGCTGGATTTGTTGCAGCAGGAGGATACTTTTCAGGAGGTGACTTGTCCATCAGCAGGAGTCACTGGACTCCTTGAGGCTTATGCAAGAATGGTTAGAGCTGTGTCAGCTTCAGACATAACATTTTCTTGGGGAAGCTGATTATTTCACATCTCCTTTCATTCCAAATTGGAATGTAATAGAAATACCAAACCAAGCTTATTGAAGTCCTTTGTTTACATGCTGGTGTTTTGATATTTTATGGGATTCATATAAAATTAAAAAAGATTTAAAGTGCTTGATAATGCTGTCAAGTTTCAGTGAAATCAGTGATTATGTGAAACCTTTCCACTCTTGTCTGTTCTGCTAGGAAGAAAAAAATCTGTCAGTTTTAATAAGAAATGAGTTACCAATTAAATTTATACCACTGTTCAACATCGGCTGCACACTCCAGGCTACTAACAGTGTCTTCCTTTGGCAGTCAGGTCTCTTTGCTAGCCTCCCATCATTTCTGTGACAGCTTCTCTCCACACAGATGGAACAAGGCAGAGGCTCTGGGAATTACAAGAAAACACCAACCCTAATTTTGCCTTCCTTTTTGTTCTTTCCTGTTCAAAGAAGGATGAGCAGTTCTTGATTGCAATGAGGGTCTCCCTGGCAAAGTGCAGCCATAGCACTGGCCCATAAGGATGAGCTGTGCAGCTTACAGGTCCCATCTCATGGCACTAAGCGTGGTGAAACAGGAGCTGTGTCAGCCTTGTATTCTTCAGTGAGTCTATCCTAGGGCCTCAAAGGTTTTATCTACAGTATCCTCAGACCAGATGTAAATAACCTGGTGGCTAAAATCAAAGGGCTTCTGTTATCTTGTTCCTGCAGTGGTTTAGGGCCAGTCACAGGGATTTGAACCTCTACTTGGAAATACCTCTAAGCATCAGGTACATCCTGACATGCCACTATACAAGAGATGTTTTCACCACTTAAGTATTGTGAAATGTGAAGTTCCTCAATTTATGGATTTTTCTTTCATTCTATTTTTATCTCTTTTTAATTGCTGGCTTCCAGTTTTGGGGAATACCTGGAGATGAGCCAAGATTTGTTTGAATCAGTTTTCAGCCTCTGTGGGTAATTATCAAGTTAAATGGTTTAGGAAGTAAAAATGGAAAAGTTCTTTTTCTAGAGGACAAAAACCTTAGCCTTGGAACTTGTTGTCCTCTCCCAAGAAACTTGTGAAGCATCTCTTACGATGTGGGAACAGTAATTTGATTGTACTATAAAACAGATTGGAAAAATGCACAAATCAGATGACAGGCACTTCTAGTCAGCAGTGATTACAAAAACCCCAGCACACAGCATGAGCCCTCTCTAAACACATCCAGAGGGTTGTATTTTTGAAAGGGATCAAACACCTGACAAAAATGTTGTTCTCATCATCTTCATTTTGGATGAATTCTGAATCGCTCCATATGCCACTGTGTAAATTTTCAATTCTTTCCCTCCTCCTTTGGCAGCACTGTGAGGGTGTGAGACAGGGTCAGACAGTAACTTCTGGTATTACTGAGAAGATTAAAATTAAGCCTGTGTTTTGATGAGCTGTAATGATCACACCCTATTTCAGAAGCATTGATCACTGAGATGGCCCACATGCATCAGGCAGGTGCTTCACACCTCCCAGGCTCAGGTCTGTGAGGGCTGTTGCTTTGGGAGAGGCACATGGATGTTGTGGCCATGAGCAAGGCTTAGGTTTGCTCTGGCATCCTGCCTCTAACAGTCCTGCCTGTGCTGGTTGCTTTGGGGAAGACCCTTTCTCATTTCCAGCTGGAGATATGGTGCTGCCATGGCATATCCTGATGTGATGTCCAGTGGACACCAGTGGGCCGCACGGGGCTGTGCCTGCCATGTGCAGCAGCTGCTGTTGCTGCTGGCTTGGTGTTACTACCGTCACCTTTTCCCTTGTGTCACACCTGCTTTTGAACTTGCCTTTCCTGTTTGTCCTCACTACTCAGCTGCTCTGCCTGGGCCCTGCTCTGCTCTGCATCAGTGTCATGCCCATGGCTGTGATGAGCGCAGGGACCAACAGACATGTAGTGACATGTGAACGTCTGTGGCTGAGGAGATGATTCACGGGAGGAGCACATCCTTGCTTCGGGGCAACTGTGTCTACCAAAGGGGCAGGATGGACAACTGCAAGAGACAACTCCTTCCATCACTCAACACCAAGTGGGACCTGCAAGCCTCCCAGCATCCCCACCTGGGGTGGCACTGCCTTCAGAGCAGGGGGTTGGGCAGATGTTCCCCAGCTGCAGCTAGCAAGTGCCTTGATGGGCTTCACTCTCTTCAAACCTCTACAGCAAACACATCCACTCCCCTCTAAATTTTCTCTGCAGCCACTGAAGGAGAGAGGTGCTCCCAGGGCATGGCTATTCCCATCAGGAGCTCTACAGCTGGGTCCCCGTTTCTCCCCAGTTGCCATAAGGAAGGCGCAGGGAACTCGCTCAGGTGTGGGCATCACCACCATAAAAGTATGTGAGGTGGGTGCTGTTTTCTGAGTCACAAAGCATGGGATATGAGAGTCTTTGAATGTGACCTTACTCCAGCAACACCATTGAAAATGCTTTCTGTCCTTGTGTGTAATCCTTTCTGAAACACAGAAAACCTGTTCCAAACCAGGAAAGCTCCAGATGTTGCTATAGCTCTCACACAGTTTTCTTGCTCCAGAAACTATACTGGAGGAGAAGGCTTTTCTTTAAATTAACAACTGAGTTCCTGCCATTACTGACTGTTTTGGAGCCCTTCCTCCCACAGCATCTCACAGGGACAGAGATCACAAACACTGCTAGACCATCAAGTGCAGAACTAGTCTAAACCTGTCAGGAATAACCAGTGCTGATTCCATACATTAATTATATGTTGTGTGAAAAAGAATTTCCTAAGAGGTTTGGGATTTTTTAAGTTAAACTGAAGATCTGGATCCTGCCTTTTTTATGTGTCAAGGGACTAGATAAACCAGAATGGAAAATCCTGTTGGAGCCACATTTCATGTTATCAGCACTGCATATCAACATCACACCTTCTCTGGAGTGCCTTCTTTGTTGTGGAGTGAATCCCTTTGTTTTAAAAGGAATCTTTCTTTAAAGAAGCATCCTCAGGCATAACATGTATTCCTGGTTTCTCTTCATTTATTGCTTATCTTTGAAGGAGGGGAGATCCCATTGTCCACCCTCTGAGTGCTAATGGCTTTTAGCAGTGATGGGTCAGGGGGGCAGAGAAGAGTGGGTAACATGGTGTGTAACAAGGACGGGTGGTGGCAGGTAGAAATTTGCTGGTGACACACCTTCGGGGGGGTTCCTACACAAAGGGAATTTCATGGAGACTCTTAAACCATGTTCTCTTCATTGTGCTCATGGCAGCCACTTCTCCATCCCTGTGCCTCACATTGCCCATTTTTGGAAAAAGCTACTAAGGAAGTGTGCAGACAAGCAATCCTAGCAACACCTAATAGTCATTACCTGTCTTAGCCCAGTCACGAGAAGCACTGACAGATGACTTCATGATGAAAGAAAAACATGTCCTTGGTGATTCCCCATCTTTCAGCTACCAGTTTCCTCATAGAAACGGGCTTAAAAGGTTCAGCTATGAAGTAGCCATAGTAAAGAAATCGTGTGTTAAGAAGATTAAGACATCATCATAATTACAACTACTTGGTACAGAAATTGGGGCTTTAATATGTGCACGTTGACACTGTGGACCTGCAGCTGTAACATTTTTGACTGATGCACCTCAACTTTCTGGAGCATCCCCCCGCAGAGAATCCACCTAAAGTGGGTTTCCTGCATGCCTGCAGGAAATCTCTGCTGGCAAAACTACCCTGAGACTTGGTGCAAAAGAGAAGAGACACAGCAGCCCTGCCTCCAGGGGGTTAATCTGGTTTAGTTACCTTATTGCAATCTCAGCATGGGCAAAGTTGGAGCCCACGAAAGCAAAGATCTTTGCTAAGAACCTAATTAGGATGAGTGCAGGCATGTGCTAGCAAAGCAGCCTGGGCAGACCTTGCCTGATCACAGAAGTCAGAGCTTCAGTGTTATTGTAGACAGAACCTTAGTGTCAAGTCTTCAGGGATGGTTCTGGGAAAGGCTTACAGTCCCCTGAAGCTGCACTGATTTAAAATGAGCTGTAAGGCATTTCCTGATACTGCATTTATAGAAATCAATGTGGTCTACAATTTTACACCCCAGTTTTTAGGAAATGCCCAGGTTGGCAGGTGGTGATGACTCTCTTACAGGTGCCTGCGCTGTGCTGCAAAACTTCTCCTGCGCACTGTAGAGGTTTCCTAGCAACTTCCTTCCGTGGTCTTTGTGCTCAAATTTGTTTTGAGATGCGGGCCATCATAGAACAGTATTTCTGCCTATTTAAACTAGTTTAGTTCTTTTAAGCTGGCCAGGCATGCGCAGTACAGCAGCAGTGTCTGATTTATATCCTTTTCAGCTATTTCCTTTAAAACTAACAAAAGCCTGAGCCAATGTAGGTGGGTTTCTTGCTTTTTTACTAACCAGACCCCAGTCCATTTCTCGAATTGCTGAGCAATAGTAAAACTCCAAATCCGTATTTAAAACCAAATATAAACAGCAGCAATGTTTTGTGCTCTGCTGGCACATCGAAACCAACAGATGTTGATCATGTGCTTTGGACAAGTCTTTCCAAATACATGAGAGACATCATATTTTTGAGCCAAAAATGCTCTTAAGAACATGCGAAACCAAGGCAGCTAAACAGAGCTAACCTTTGTGCGCACGCATATGTATCCATTTTAAAAATGGCCATAGGTTTTAAGTCTGTAAATTCACTGACAGTGTCCATGTTTGAACACACTGAAGCGTTTATTCAGTATTGTGTACTGGCTCAGACAGGCAGCTTCTGACAGGAAGCCTGAAATAACACCCTTAACTAGAAAGTGAGGGAGTAATTTGGTGATGGAGAAAACTGTAAAGGGTTTAGGTATAAGAGGGTGCAAGAGACAAATCCGGATTACCTCCATCTCCTAGAGCAGCACTGAGACACTGTTACTAAAGTAATTCACTACACAAATACATATTTCTTCAAAGATGGGGAAAAAAAATCACACGCACACACATTTAGCAACTGGAAAGCAAATGCCAAGTGCCTTGGTGTTTTCCTTGGAACCTGTACTGCTCTGTGAGCTCTCTCATAGAGAGCCACGAACAACTGTGATTGTATGATTCTATTCTATGATTCTATGAACTGAAGTGCAGGAGGAAATACGGATTCAAGTCCCTCCATGCTGCAGCCAGAGTCCTTCCTGCCCTCAGCAGGATCCATTCCTGCCTGATGCTGAACAAACCCCACACGGCTTGACTTCCCACATGGGCATGACTGAGGCACAAACCACCCAATGTGAACTCTCTCCCACTCTTCCCAGGCTTGGCTGCCACTGTTTTAACCCAGCATCACGCACCTCCCTTAGAGATTATCTGCTCTTACACCCTCATAGCATGTTGGGGATTTGCCTGCTCCTCCCATTTGCATTTCCACTGCTATAAAACATTGGATTTCTTGCTCAGCACTAGTGCTGACAGTGTGGCTATGTCAGCTGTTGGCATTGGTTGCAGAGATCAGGGCAAACTTCCAGAGCAAATCAGACCCTGGATTTCTACCAAAACCCATCTATTCCTGGTTGAAGAGTTATTCCCTCCACCTTTATTGCTGGGTGGGATAACAAGCTATTGAACCCTCAAATTAGCACAACATGGAGTTCTTTTGATAGCCTTCCTCTCCACAAGATGCTACTGCATCTTGTGTACACCAGCCAGCCCAGCAAGCTAGAGGACTTCTAGCTGACAGTGTCAATTGTTTATAAAGTGTTACTGCACAGTCGACATTTGAAAAGTAATTTAATATTTCCCCCATGACAGTCACTTCAAATACTCTGGAAACAAACTGTATGACACTGCGGACAGCAGTCATGATGCTTGTCTTTTCTGAGATGTCCAGGCTGGATTTGGGTACAGTTTGTGCCAGGCAGGGCTGTGAGGTGAACACCGCAGCAAATACAATACACTTGGCAATGGGGATGTGCAGGAGGGTGAGTCTCACACTTAGACCCCGACTCAGGAGCATTGAACTCAGGAGGAATTCACGCAGAGCCAATGCAGCAGCACTCCCTCCACAGCGAGCTGCAGCACCAAGGGTTAACACTGCTGCCTGCCTCCACAAATCTACATAATGCCTTGCTTTGGCAGCTCATTTGCATAATTTTAAATTACTCTTTTGTCTGGAAAATAAAATCTAAAACATAGCTTCAAATATAAGTGGTAGATACTAATGTTTCGTATCCTAAGAAGGCTCGTTTAAGTCTATTTGTCTGAACTGGTCAACTGAGTTTGTAAGAATAATTTTAACAGAGCAATGTTGTTTCTTTATTGCAAAGCCTTGAGTGTTCTTTCCAGGTGCCATTTTAACTACCTAAATAAGGTCTAATGTGCTCACCCACCCCTCACAGAGAGCCTGAAGCTGCCCTATGCACGCTCAGACCCTCTGGAGGGCTCAGCAGCTCCAGCCTTTGCCACGGGGTTCCAGCCCACCCCTCTCATTAAACTGGAGAAACAATGCAGCAGCATTACTGGATCTCTTTCATCAGCACATCTTTACCAGTGATGGGCTTCCAGGCTGTAGACGTGTGCCCAGAGGTGTGGACACACTGGTATGAGCTCAGTGTCCCACCTCCTACTGCCAGGAGGGATTCAGCTCACCAGAGGATAGATACCTACGTTTCATCAGCTGAATCACACTCCCAGCCCATTGACTCCTGTAACTAAGTCTCCACTGATTAGTGTGGGAGATTAGATGCCTAAATTAAGGGATCTGTTTTCTGGATCTGATTCCCGCTCCAGCCCATGAGGTGCTCTTTGTGGGCCGAGCCTCGTGCCTCTCAGCTATTCTCTCCCTCACCTTGGGAGACAGATACAAAGTGCAGTGTCTTCTACTCTCAGTGATGTGTTTCAGTGTAGGAGAAGGGGCTCTTAGCCTGCACTGGCACTTCGGCATGTTTTAAATCATAGCTTATCAGAGCAGCAGAATAAATCCTAGGAAATAAGCCAAATGGATAACTTGCCTGTTGTTATGACTGAAGCCTGAACTTATATACTATAAACTTCTGTACATTCCTCAGGCAAAGACCCATAAATTGTGCATAAAAATGTCCAGCATTTCTAAATGGGACTTCACAAACCAATGCACTTGTGCTCCTCACTTTGTAGTCCCAAAAGTCAGGTGACACCAGAAGACATTTCCCACTCCATGCCAGCTCCCCTCCAGCAGCATGCCTGGCAGGCATTCTGCCCAGAGGAGCAGCCAAGGGAAAGGCACCAAAGGGAAAGCTTTAGGCAAATGTAGCAGCATCTGGGGAGCTTGTACAAGCTGTATGGGGACACAGGACAAGTGTAAGTAGGTAATCCTACTTACAGAGTGAACAGATCTGTCAAATGCTAACAAGTTTCTACCTGGCTTGTTTAGCTCAGTTTTTCTTTTGCCCAGTGCTCATAACCCAAATTCAGGTGAACTTTGAAGTTCCCTGCAAGTGATAATATACTGATTGCCCTCCTTCAGACTCTAGTGGCATTACAGTTTTCAAGAAAGTGCTTCAAAGATGACTTAAGGCTATCTTTTTTCTAACTTCACGTTTTGCAAACAGCTAAACTTGACACTTCTGTTAAAAACCAGACAAAGCAGATACACAGTATTAAACATTTAAGCCCAAATAATTAAAGTGTCAGTTCACAGCAGAAGGCAACATTCACTGCAAGTGAAACTACTTGTATATGCAGTTAGTAGCAAGTAATTCTGAATTTGCAATCTGCCTGCAGTTTTGTGTTAACTACCTGCCTATCTATAGAAATACGCTCACCAACACATATGCAGGCATATACAACTGAGTGTTGCAATTGCTGTTATTCACAATAAAATGTTAGTCCATCAGTTAACTGTGTCCCTTTTCTCTTACACTGCAATGGAAAAAAACCTCCCAGACTATCTATTCGTATTTTTTTCCTCCATTAGTTTCAATGAAGCTAAATGTTAACTACCAAAGCAGTTCCCAGTGCAGTCTCCCTGTGCTCCGTCTCCTATTGACCACTATTCCCATTGCAATTTTTTTTCCTCCCTTTCAGCACTGAGGCTCCATCACCATAAAAATCCTTATTTCATGGGACTCCCAGCTGTTAGAGCTGCCTCTCTTCACACGAAGTCAACATCAACTTTTCTTACATTTAATCACTTCCACTACTGGTTTTGATGACCCACTGCATTTATGCTCCCAGCTTGGGAATATCCTACAGGGACTTGGAAACAGCTGAAAAACAGCCATCCTGTTCAGAGTGAATGTCCTTAGTGATTTAAGGGTGGGGAAACAAAGAAGAAAAAAGCTCACAAGATTTTTAGCAGAATGGTGCAATCTTCCCTGAAAGCAAAGACCACCATTTAAAGGGAATGGGTGGTGTCTGAAACCTGCCTGCACACTAATGATGAGAGTCCTGACTGCTGAAAAGTGGAAGAACTATTTCAGAAGGGGTGGTGAATTTGCAGCCTCTGTGTACATTCATTTTGCACAGGCCAGATTTCTCCTGAACAGCCACTGTTTATCGCTTCTCAAGTGACACAGCCTCTGGTTTGCTTAAAATGCCAGCTGTAAACGGAGGCTGCTTTGGAGCTCTTTCATGAGCAGCTCAGTTTTCTCTCTGTGTGCCTGTGCTATCGTTCAAATCAGCAGTTTGGGCTTGAAACTCATCACCCGCTCACCATCCTCCAGTTCACTTTGTGGAGAGCACACACCCTGGGCTCCTTTGGGGTGAAACCAAAAGGAAACATGCGCTCCCAAAGTGCAGCATGATCTTTGGGGAAGCTGTGGGTGTTCAGTCCATGAGCACACCTAGAGCTGGCCAACACAACCGCCCTCAAAAGGGGGTTGGCTGGGCACTCACCATCCACTGCTCTGCACTACACTGGACTCCTCAGGAAATTTTTTAATTTTAGTATTTTTTTCAAAGGGAATTAAAGCCAAATGCAAGAACCATCTACTATTTCTTTCTGTATGGCTATAAATAGCCATCCATGACACATGGCTATTTGATGACAGAGGAACAGCAGTTAAAAAGTAGGTTGGAAGTACATACACTGAAAGGTAAATCCTGGCCCCACTGGAGACCATGGAATAATTCACTTGCTTTTGACCTGGAAGGTCTCCACTCCTTTCCCTGCCAGAAACAAATTTACTCAGCAATAATTCCAGATGGCAGTACATGAATCAAGGCCATACAAAACTATTGCTGTGAATGCATTTCACCCTCACAATTTATAAAGGCTTTTTTTTTTTCAAACTGCCACTTCTGAAGGTAAATATGGTTAAGACAAGAGTAACTAACCCAATCAAATGGAACCAATAGGAAAATAAAAAATCTTTTTTCATCCCACTTAATCATCTGGACTCCCCTGACAGCCTGCAGACAGATAAGAAGGAGACAGCAATTCCACAGGGAACCCAGACAACCTGATAGGGACACATGCCCACCTTTTAGGTTGCTAAAGTTCAAACTAATTGTGTCTTTCCTTACCAGGAACTGACAGGAAGCCACTCTGATGCAAAAGAGTACAACTCTAATGCGTGCACAAAAACACCGGCCCAGGTGACACAAAGTCTCAGCCATGCACCCACCACGTACACTGTGCACACCAGCTCTGCTCACACCTTCTTACAGGAACAGTTGCACAAGGTGGCTGCCCACAGCCTCTCTTCCCAGGACATTTGGCTCCTGCACAGTGCCTGGGATGGCTGGTGAGCTCCTCTTGCCATGCTCAGCTGTATTTGTCAGTGGATAGGTCTGGTATCCACACATAAAAGCGATCGTGTAAACTTTGTGGTGGGGACTGGACAAGAAGAGATGTCCTGGATGCCCAGTCAGAAGGAACAGGTGTTCATGAGTGCCTCTGCGGGAGCTGGAAGAGGACTCAAGTAAGGGGCTGCAACAAAGGTGAGGAGCAAAGTCAAGCGAGGGATGTGACAAAACAAAATCTGTCTGCCAGATACCAGTGCATCTACAAACTCCACTAAGTACTCGGCAGACACTTCACCTCAATCCCAGACATACTGTGCCAACTTCCCTAAACAGAAAAAGTAAACCTAACTGTATAGTAAAGAATGGAGAAACAAATCACAGATTCATTGAATGTTTTGTGTTGTAAGGGACCTTAAAGATCACAGCAGGCTCCAATCCTCCTGCCATGGGCAGGAACACCTTCCACTATACTCGCTTGCTCAAAGCCCCACCCAACCTGGTCTCGAACACTTCCAGGGATAGAACATCCACAGCTTCTCTGGGCAACCTGCTCCAGTGCCTCACTACCTTCACAGTGAATAATTTCTTCCTTACATCTTACCTAAATCTAACCTCTCTCAGTGTAGAGACACTACCCCTTATCCTATCACTACATGCCTTTGTAAAAAGACCCTCTTCAGCTTTCTTGTAGGTCCAATTTCTTGCAGAATCCTCATTTCTGGCCCAGGATTCCTTCGCTGCAGAGCTGAGGTGAGAAAATGCAGAGTAGCTCAAACAAGAGAGAGGAAGGGAGATCAGGCAGCTGAAGTATTGCCTGATTTCAAAAGATGTACTTCAGTCCACGTGTATGCATTTCAGTCATGCAAGTGTATCTGCAGATTGTCTGTCAAAGTATGTCAAAGCTCACCATAATCACTTCTGAATATCTGAGTCTCTTTCTGGTACTGCAGCTAAGGGAAAGACTGCAGCAGAATGAGGGACCTGCATTGCTTCAGTTTGTGGCACAAGGTGCTGGAAACCTTGCAATGTACTTTGCTGCTCACTATAGTAACTTCTTCTCAGCCTTGGGAACAATCTAGAAGCTGTAGTTTTCTGCACAGCATTCTTGCTGACATTTCCAGAAATGCTGGCCTCATTTCTTCCACAGCAAAATACAATCTTATGCTGCCAGCCTGATGTCATGTCTGTTGACATCTGGAATTAACAGCCTGGAAAGTGCATACTGGAGCTCTCCTTCACTGCCTGAAGCCTTTACTTCTGCTCAGGGCCTCCTCCCTGACTCCTCCACGCCCCACCAGCCGCAGGCATGGCTGCCTGTGGTACAACTGCCGGCATCTGCTCACACTGTTTACAGAGCAAAGTCCCTTGCAGTCCTCTTATCCCAATCCTTCCATCTCCAGTAGGTCTCCTCCCTCCAGGACTAACAAATTTCCATGCAATCCACCAGGCCTGCAGCTGCCAAGTGGATTTAGTGAGCGGTCAGGAGCAAATCTGTCCCAGTGTCCCAGTGCATATTTTTCACAAGCTGTTTCTTATGGGAAAGTTCTTGATCTACTGGAAATGGACATTTGTGGAGCAGGAGGCTGGATGAGATGACTCCCAGAGGTCCCTGCTAATCCATGCACTTCTACCAGTTTGAAAACTTCAGGAAATGCTGACTCATCAAAACTCAATTTCAGACATGACAGCAGTGATCCCACAGAAGTTATTTTGTGTGGTATTTCCAAGCTGGCAAAAACTCCCGCACAGACAAGTATACCAGCAGGGAACTTGCTCTGCTGGTTGGGTGTTGGTGTATTTATAGCTGCACCTTCACAAGGAAGGTGCTGCTTTACCAGTAGACCTGAGAATAGCACCATCTATACATCAAAGAACTGTCCAACGCAGGAAGTGAAATTACTTAGGCCAAGACAAATAATGTTGTCTTAAAGATACATTTTGTAAAGAAAGAAAATCTAGTTTGGTTCTCGAGGGTTTTTTTCATGACTTGGTAAATATGAATTTTTAAATACCATTACAGTATCAGATCATTACAGTATCTGTCATCCAAGAGACTGGGACAATCCAGAGGACTCAGGAAAAGTCTTTTATTTTGAAGTTCCTAAAAAACACAGGTTGCAAGAAGGAGCAGTTCTGCTATCAGAAAGCAATTCTATTTGGAGCTGTTTCAGATAATTAAAGGACCATCAAGCTGTTACCTGCCAAATTATCTTCCAAGAACTGCAGCAGTAGACAAGGCAGGCATTCAATGAGCTGCCACTTCCTGGTATTCCAAAAGTCAAGCAGCAAGATGCAAACTCACATCCCTGTTAGGGAAGTATGGGCGCTTCTGATGGTGTGCTGGAACTTCTTCCATGTTCCAAAGTCCTGTTAGACTAACAACATCGTCAGCTGAGCACTTGGGTTTGTGTCCTCTCACCTATGCTTAGGGTTAGTTGCCATACAAACAATACAAACTCGGAGTGTGAACAAAAGCTGACATTTGCACTACTCAAATTTATTCTGGCTCTGAACCCAAGTTCCAATGGAATCCATTTTAAATTTTTTTTCATTTTTGCTCATGCTGAGTGTTTGCATTGGCAAAGCCACAAGCAATGGTTAAAACTGGGATTCAGACATAATGTAAATAAAGCTACAGAAAAGGATTACCTGGCAACGCCAGCAGCAGACTGCTGAGGCCTAACAGATGTGTGCCCTCTTTGGGCCTTCCCAGCTCTCTTCCTGTATCTAAGAGGTTTCCATAACCCATTAAGTTTTAAAGCTTGTGTATTAATGGTGGAAGGAAGTGAGTAATGAAAATCTCTTCTTTATGCCCAGCTCCTAAGAGAATTCCAAAGCACAAATTACAGCATTTGGAAATGTAAATGCTTTGGAGAACTAGATCTTGAACACAAAACCAAACATAAATACCTGGAACTTCCCAAACCCTACCAAAAATTCTTGACAGCATTTTCAAGGGCTCTGCAGGAATTCATGTGACCCGTCTTCCTACTATTCAATGAAAAAGAAGAATGACTGTCAAAGGGAAATCCTCTATTTTTTGTCTGGGAAAAAAATTGAACTGAGAAGCAAGGCTTTTCAGGTGGTTACCAAAACATTCAAGTGACTCTGATAAAATGACTGAGGTCAAGACAACTTAGAAGACTCTCTCACTGCAATAAACACCATGTTTTCAGGGGAAAGCATAAAGACTGATGTTGAGAACAAAAAAGGAGAAGGAAAAAGCAGAACAAAGCTAACAAACTTTGGTACAACCAGACTCAGAACTAAGTAATCCAGAAACTCTCTGTCCTGACAGGGGGGAAAAAAAAAAGGTATTCATGGACCTACTAGTTTTTAAAAGCACAGCTACTGCACTGTCGCACTACCAAAGAGTCCCATTCCATGCCTTGTGTATTTCCAGAAACCTGTTAGGATTTTCCTCCAAGGATAAGCTAAATTACTTATTTGTATTCCTGAAGCCATTTGAATATCCCTGTCACTTGAGAACAGAACATACAGGGAAACTTCATCTGAGAACAAGAAATCTGGAATGCACCAATTGAATATTTCTTTTCTTACCACATTTCCTCATGTTAATGATAGTCGTGTTGGAAAAAAACCCGCAAAAACTCCCCAAATCTCTGGGCAGCAAGCAGCTGCATCAGCTGATTCTTGGATTAGCTCCTTTCGGCTGTACTGGAGAAAGACCTTAGGAGAAGGGGGAATGGAAGATGGGGAGTTGCAAAGGTCCTTACGATCTGAAAGTGGAGGAACAAACCGAGATTTTCAGGGTGCATGATTACGCAGTCAGAAATTAATTCTAACTCACTGAACTAGGTTCTAGAGGTTTTTTGGTACCATTATCATGTGATTGCCAGCATTCCTCACGTGCTAAAAAATTCCAAGCCAGTTTTCCAAATTTCTGATTTCCTGAAAACAAGCAAGATCAGACTGCAAAAGCAGCAAATTCCGGGGGGGGGGGGGGGGGAAGGGGGGGGGGAGAAACCATCAAAATCAGAGCTTGGTACAATCCCTGCTAAGGTGTTCAGTTTCTATAGAAACAAATTGCTGTTTTATTGACTTTGCCACTCAACCTTCGGCACATTGAGATGTTAATTTGTTAAAAACTGCTCCATCGGCAAGGTGTGATCTTTTGGAACAGTTCAGTTAAACCCTGTCCCGAGGGAGGTGCGCAGGAGTGCGGCATTGAGAGCTCCACGGAGGCAGATACCTTTTTATTTTGATATACTACCAACCTAGTGGTTAACCTAGAGAAGAGATGACCGAGAGGGGATCCCATCAATACATATAAAGATCTCACAGGCAGGTGCCAAGAGGATGGTGCCAGACGCTTTTCAGTGGAGCCCAACGATAAGACGAGGAGCAATGGCCATAAACTAAAACCCATGTCCCACCTCAACATGAAGAAGAACTTCCTTACGTTGAGGGTGGCAGCGCACTGGAACAGGCTGCCCAGGGAGGTTGTGAAGTCTCTCTCTCTGGGGACATTCCAAAGCTCCCGGGACGCATTCCTGTGTCACCTGCTCTGGGTGACTCTGCCCTGGCAGGATTGGACTGGATGATCTCCAGAAGTCCCTTCCAACTTTGGCTATTCTGTGAACCTCCCTAAAGGAAGGTGAATAATGCCGGCTGTGCAGGGAGGACTGGCTATAAACGCAAGTAGAAAGGAATGGACAGGGCCAGCCCCAGCGCGCAGGTAGCGACAGGCGGTGAGTTTGGAGCAGCTATGGGTAGCGGGGGAAAACCCTGTTCCCCCCCCCCCCCCCCCCCCCCCCCCCGGGGCCAGCACAGCCTCCCACCACACCCCGCGCCCCGCTTCCTTCCTTCCTTCCTTCCTTCCCCTCCCGCTCGGCGCCTCAGGGGAGCGGCGCGCGCCGTCCGCGGGACCCGCTCCAGACGCGGGGGGAGAGGCACGTGGTACTTTACGTCCCTCGCGCGCAATGACGTCACCGCACCCCGCCGCGAGGCCCCCGCGCCGGGCCAATGGGCGACGCGCTTAGTGGCAGGGGGGGAAGCGGCGTGCGCCAGTGAGCGCGGGGCTCGCACGCGCGCCGCCGCCGCGCGCCGGCCAGGCCCCGCCTTCTGCCCGGCGCGGCGCACGGAGGGCGGGGGAGGGGCGGGGGGAAGGGCCCGCTGGAGCCAAGATGGCGGCGCGTGCGTGAGCGCGGCCGGGCCCAGCTCCGAGCGCCGCCGTTGCGGCCGTTCCGCCCCGACCCGCGCCTGCAGCGCCGCGGCCGCCGAGAGTCCGCGACCCCGCCGGGGCGGCCGCGAACCACCCCGGCGGAGGGACGGAGGCCAAGCGCCCCCTCCCCCGCCGCCCCCATTGTGTGCCCGGCCCCCGCCCGCCCGCCTCCCGCCGCCGTCGCCGGGGAGGGCACCGGCGCGGAACATGACCTCGATCCACTTCGTGGTGCACCCGCTGCCGGGCACCGAGGACCAGCTCAACGACCGGTGAGGGGCGGTGGGGGAGCGGAGGGGAGGGGCCCCCCGGGGTGTGGGGAGGGGCCCCAGGGCGGCGGGGGCAGCGCGGCCGGCCCGGCCGGCCCGGCCCCCCCGCCGGGTCCCCGCGCGTCCCGCCCGCCCCGAGCGGCCTCTCCCGGCGGTGGCTTCGCCCCCCGCGGGGCTGAGGGGCCGCGACCTTCGCCGTGGGCCCGGCGAGGGCTCCGGCCGGCCTGGGGAATCCCGGGGATCCCTGGCCCGGCAAGGAGGTTCTTGGGGATCCAGGGGATCCCTGGCGGAGGAGGGAGAACGTGTCCATGTTAATCGGGGATGGAGCGAGGCAGACAATGCGGGCGGGGGATCGCGGTGTGTGAGGGAGTGACGGGAGCGGGGATAAAGGCGGCAGTGCTGTCACACACACCGCGGTGTGCGCTGCCTGCCCCGCTCACGGGCCGGGACTGGGCACAAAAGCAGGCCCGGTCTCCACATCAGCGGTGCTGGGCGGCTTTAGCTGAGGTGGGAATGACCGCTGCCTGCCTGAAAACATCGCAGCCAACTTTATGTAGCACTGAGGGAGAGAAATTGCAGGCTGAGGAGAAACTGGAGTGCTTGGGAGAAAATGAATCCATGAACCAAATTTTCTTTACTGCTTGACATGTATTTGACAGCTCTGTGTGGCTGTCAAATATTTCTTCCGTAGCACCTGCTAATGGTATGTGTAGTAGTTTGTAAATTTTACTTGTGTTCTTTTATACAGAGATTCTTAAAAAATCTGTAACTTAATCTTTAATTTTTTGCAAATTTATGTGTGAATACATCGTTATCCTTAATCATCACTGGATAGAAACCTAAATTTTTTACACTACAGATAGATGTTATTTAATGGATGTAGACATTATTTAAATATTTATAAGCCTTAAAAAGTATGGGCTCTTCGTTGTACTCTTCTGGTTTTGATCCTACCAGGTTCAGAGTAGGCCAGAGTCCATCTCGCTTCTCAGTTGTTTGTAGTTAGGTCACTTCTCCTAGACCAGTCTTTGCTGAGCTGCCTCTTGAAAGAGATGAGGTTTGAGAGTGTATAGTGAGGAAAATAGGTCGTTTTAAAACCAAAATTTCGGCCTAGCTACCTCATCCATACCCTTAGAGGAGGAAAAGAAACTTATAAAGATAAAATAGGTCCAAACCCTGAAGTGTTGTAGTGTGGAGTGTATTTTTTTCCTCTAAACCTGATAATATATTTTACAGAATTCTGTTTCCTAGGAGGCCTCCCTATTCCTAAGGGATTGATTGGCTTTGTCTACAGTACTACATTCAAATTTGGCATACACCATCTTCCTCTAGTGACAAACTGAGAGGTGATGCTGTACTAGGAGATCTTTTACTGGTTGCACTGTTTTGATTTGGAGTAAGATGTAAGACTTTGAACTTGAAAAGACTCCAATGGGTTTTCTTTTTTTTTTCTTTTTTAATGTTGATAGACCCTTAGAAAACATTTAACATGTAATTATCACACTTTGCTCAGAGTGAGAGAGCTCATCTGTTTTTTCTTTAATGTCACCTGTTCTGTTGACTTATTGATGTAAAATATGATGCCCCTTCAGTCTTCCTAATGCTTCCTGGGTTTTTTTTTTGATTTCTTTTTTTCCCTTCTTACCCCAGCAGCACTTCTTAAAACTACTATTTGATAGAGGAAGCTTCCTAATGTGTGGTAATTAATATGTGAAGAAAGCTGCAGAAGTGCTGTTAAGTAGTGACTTATTCTGAAAAATCAAGCGGCTCCTTGATCTGATCTACAAGTTAGAAATTTCCACTTCATAAATATAATTTTACTAAAAATGCAGTAGCTGTGTATCAGAACTTGTAATGCAGTGAAATCAGAATGATTCATAAGTAGAGTTGAGGCACACACATATGTGCTGGAAATGCCAGTTCAATTTTATCAGTAGCATTGCTGCTTATTACTATTCTGTCAATGTAGATTAGGCTCCAGATAGCTTAATAAATTCTTGTATACAAACTCACAGATGTTAGGATCTTGGAACATCTCATGTCTCTAGGATCTTTCTTTCCTCTCTTTTTTGAGTCTGTGCTGCAGACAGTGGTCAGTAGCCCCTGACAGTGGTCAGTTAGGTTTTTTTTTCCTGTCTGTATTCTGAATGATAATTGTTTCTCAAAATCTGATTTTGGGATCATAATTCTGCATTATATGCTTTCATTTCTAGTGTACGTAAAACATCAATTAGATTGCTTTCAGTAATGGGTATGTGTTCTGTATCTAAAGAATAATCACATCTTAAAGCACAAGGCATTTATTGGTGCAATCCCTGTGTGTTCAGGACACAGGACGCTTTGGAATTTTTATAATCAAGTATTTGATACATTATGTTTAACATTATCAGTGTAGATGTGTGAAGAGAGTGAAGTGTGTTTGGAAAGCGTCCTCTCCTGAAGTATTGCTCTGCTTTTAAGTAGTCTCCAAGTAGTTTTTTCCAGTGTGGTTTGGTGCAGTTTCTTTCATTCTGTTCTACAGCTTTTATTCGGTTTTCTGTTTAATTTGCTATCCCTCCTATTCATGCAGCAACTCAGAGAATGGTAAAACATTTAAAAAAAAAAAGGAAAAAGTAACTGTAGAACCACAAATAATTGGAGGACTCCTGAGCATGCCTACTCATCATCTGAAAGTACTTCTTAACTAGTGTTTTTACAAATGCTGGTTAATATTGTACCTTGATGGTAGTTATTAGTCCTCTCTCAAATAAGCTGAAGCTGGGTAGGCTTCTTCACTCAGATGTCAGGGAGCTGGTGACACTGAAGACAGTTCATAGAGGACAAGGTTTTACTTAATTTTGCAGTTGTGTTAGGATTCATTTTTTGAAATGGATAGTAGGCTAAGCTTTTGTTTATGGTGAACTGAAGTAATTAAGCTTTTTCTGATAAGTTTATTTAGGAAGATAGGTAACTTGGGATTTTTCCCCTGAGCAATTTATTCTCTGTAAACTGAATATGAAAAGTTTAATGGGAAAAAAATTGGGTATGGCCTGCAGTTTGAAAAACAACTCCATAGAGTATTTGCGATGTAAATAATTAATGGCTTTAATATTTGAGAAAGAGATGTCCAGCTTCTGTTGCATTGGGTGTCAACTATATTTTGTTGATAATCCACCTCTTTTAGGGCAGGAGACTTTGTGCTTTGTTAAGGAAGTTTGACACAATTTCATAGATAAGTTAATCTCAGTAAATTCTTCTTAGTATATTTCTTAATTTTATGTTGGGTTAGGAAGTGGGTGTAACCATGACAAATAGCCTTTTCTTGGCTATTAGAAAACCTCAGAGTAGCAGTTTAACTTGCTACTCTGTAGGAGAAAGGGAGTCTTTCACCTTGCGTAAACAGCTCTCCATACATCAGCTAACCTTCAGGGACAAGGTTCATCTCAAAGCTTTGACTTTGTCTTTACCTTGTACTAAGAAAATTCTTGTCAGCTAAGCCATTTAAGTCCTAATGTAGAGTAAGATGTAGTTTTTGAAGTGGTCATTGACACAATGTTAATGTGCTTTTTTCTCTCCTCTTAAAGATGAGATGTAATGAATTTGGTTAAATAGAGGGTATTCTGAGTTTAAGATAAATGTGAAGAAGTGCCATGTAGTAGGTTTTCTGGCAGTAAGGTCTTTGAAACCATTAGTGCAGCCAAGAAAAGTTCATTTGAAGCTTCAATGAGTCTGTATGTACAGTCATCTTTGGGGGAAGAAAGGGAGATCTGGCTCTTACGTGACTTTGTTTTCCCTTAATAATATATTCAATGCCTTTCTCTGTTATTTGAATATTACTTACTTTAGGCCTGTGCCTGAACTGGAAAATGAAATAGTGTACTTTGCATTGCCTGTGTTGTTTACATTCTCTGATAATCTGTTTCTGTGGAAAAAAATATCTTCCAAGAACATACCTTTTTAGTCTGTACATCATTTCAAGGTACTGTGAGTGATCAGTGAATATGTGGCTGCTTCTCTGGCAGACATCCCCCCCCCTTGCATTTACTGATGAGCAAATCTGTTAAAAATCTCAAGCAG